GGGTCCCACGGGAATAGAGCATAGCCCGGGAAGAGGCAGGCTTTCTGCATGGTCAGGGCCCTGGCCACCAACTCCAGAGGCCTGAGTCACCTGGGACATGACACTAGCCCACTCCTCTCAGAGGTCAGCACGTCGACCTACCAGGATTACCTTGATGCAGATTTCATGTTGCACATTGTGTCCACGTGATGAGTGCTCCCTAGAAGATACACGTAAACGCAGACTCTAATGGGAACTGCACCTCCTTGGGGTTATGAAGATGTTTTGGAACAAGATAGAAGTGGGGGTTGCAGGACATCATGAACGTCCTAAATGCCATTAAATGGCATTTTGAAATGGTTAATTTTATAGATGAATTTCCCCTTAAATTAAAAAAAGCTTACTGCCAGGCTCGGTGGCTCAGCCTGTAATCCCAGCGCTTTGGGAGGCCGAGGTGAGTGGATTGCCTGAGCCCATGGGTTCGAGACCCGCCTGGGCAACTTGGTGAGACCTCATCTCTACAATAAATCAAAAAAATTAGCCAGGTATGGTACTGCACGCCTGTAGTTCCAGCTACTTGGAAGGCTGAGGCGAAAGGATCGCCTGAGCCCAGCAGGTCGAGGCTGCGGTGGCCGGGAGCAGCCACTGCACTCCAGTCTGGGCGACAGTGAGACTCCAACTCAAAAAAAAAAAGCTTACATATTTTGAGGCACTTGAAGGGAAAATACTGACTGCTTTAAAATAGTCCCTTCAATACATTAGCTCTCTGCATTGAGTCACCTCTCTCCCCAGCTTCCTGGGGTTGGTGACCATATTCTACCAGAAGAACTGTGTTGTCTTAGAAGCCCTGCTCCCAGATCCCACCTGAGGAGGAAGGGACATGGTCAGATATATCCACTGTCAGAAAGGGGACAGAAAGGCAGCAATACGGTCCTCTGAAGGATCACTTCACAGGCGAGATCATGAGAACGTAGGTCGTGCAACTCTGGGAAAAGCCATGTTCTTGCCTCCCCTAGCCATCCATTTGCCCATTGGTTCTTTCACCTAGGAACATTCACTGAGCCTCCACTGTGGACTCAGCACAATGCCAGCTACCGGAAGCTAGGATGAGTAGAGAACACCACCCTCAGCAGCTCACTATCTAGTGGGATGACCAAAGTGGAAACGATTATTATTATCATTTTTTGAGTTGGAGTCTCACTCTGTTGCCCAGGCTGGAGTGCAGTGGCACACTCACAGCCACTGCAGCCTCGAGATGCTGGGCTCAGGCAATCCTTTCCCCTCAACCTTCCAAGTAGCTGGAACTATAGGCACATGCCACCATGCCTGGCTTATTTTTGATTTATTGTAGAGACGAGGTCTCACCAAGTTGTCCAGGCTGGTCTCCAACCCCTGGTCTCAGGCAATCCTCTTGCCTCAGCCTCCCAAAGAGTTGGGATTATAGGCTTGAGCCACCTTGGCCCCCCTGGAAACAATGATTAATCACAAAGATATGCACAGAGTATAAAGATGCCCTGAGAAGGGCACCTAGGGTTGGAGGGGTGGTTATCATGGGGGCGCTAGGGAAGGCAGGAGGAAGGGATGGCAGAGTTGGATCTCCAGGGCTGTTGGTAGAGCATGTCCAGGCAAGTCTGACATGCAGCCAACTTTAGGCTGGGGCAGCTGGAGGGGAGGGGAAGACACCAAAAGCAGGGTTTACAGGTTCTCTGAGGGCTCCAGAGAGGCCTAGCTCAAAGACCAGGATATGGAACCGCCCCCTCCCCAGGAGGGCCCCATTGTGGAGATGGGGCGGGGGGTGTTCAGTGCACTTTGGCTACAAAGCCTTTCCAGCTCCATCCAAGTGGAAAGGATTCTACCCTCCATCTCACAGGACAGGATGGACCAAGGCCCGTCCCTCTGGCTCCTCTGAGGGGGTAACTCCCCTTCTAGGTCCAAGGATTCTCTGGGCAGATAGTGATACAGGGCTTTGACCCCTTCAATCACAAAGGTGGGGAGGGGATGTCCCAGCAGAAGCTCCCACCAGGCTTATCCTGGAACCCACTCCCTCTTATCCCAGGAAACTCTTCCAGGGCTAGGACTGCTCTCCTTGTATCATCACATTTTTTTTTTTTTTGAGTTGGAGTCTCACTCTGTCGCCCAGACTGGAGTGCAGTGGCCGCTCCTGGCCACCGCAGCCTCGACCCACAGGCTCCGGCGATCCTTCCGCCTCAGCCTTCCAAGTAGCCAGAATTACAGGATGTATCATCACTTTTAAAAACACAAAGAGACAATAACACTAATAGATTTCTCTTGAAAAGAAACAAAATTACACAGTACACATTAACACTGCCCTTCCCTTTTGGAAGAAGCTGTTTTATAACAGAATGAGACAGTGAATGAAAAAAGGTGCTTAGAAAACTGCTGGGAACTAGTCTGTGAGTGTGTTTTTTAACGAATGAATTATACCTAATAAACTGACCTTTCCAAACTGGATTCTGAATTATTTTGCTTAAAAAAAAAAAGAAGGAAAAGCTTGGCATGGTGGCTCACACCTGTAATCCCAGCACTTTGGGAGGCCAAGGTGAGTGGATTGCCTGAGCCCATGGGTTCAAGACCAGCCTGGGAACTTGGCAAGCCCTCGTCTCTACAATATATCAAAAAAAATTAGCCAGCATGGTGGTGCGTGCCTGTAGTTCCTGCTACTTGGAAAGATGGGTGAAGAGTAAAGAAGAGAAAGAAAAGCATCCTGAGTTATCTTTGTAAGGGTTCAGTGTCCTCAATCCAGTCAGCCTGCTGGGAGGAATGGATGGTCCTCCAGTGGATTCCCAGATCTTCTCTCCTGGCAGCAGGAAGACACAGCCTCACAGGTCACCCCAGCCCTCTTCTTTCCATCTCAGAAAAGAGCAATTTCAGTAGGGTGTCACCTACTCCAGCACTCCAAGCACTTCATCTAACCGTCTTTATGGTGTCTTTAAGGCTCCGGCAAGTGATGGGGCTTAGAAGGGTAGGCCAGTGTTCAGACCTTGAGAACCCCAGTGGCTAACAGATTTTTCTATTCTGCAGCTGTCTTCAAGATGTCTCCTAGCCGGGCGCGGTGGCTCAGCCTGTAATCCCACGCCTTTGGGAGGCTGAGGTGAGTGGATATCCTAAACCCGCGGGTTTGAGACCCGCCTGGGCAACTTGGAGAGACCTCATCTCTACAATAATTCAAAAAAAATTAGCCGGGCGTGGTAGCGCGCTCCTGTAGTTCCAGCTACTTGGAAGGCTGAGGTGGAAGGATCGCTGGAGCCCAGTGGGTCGAGGCTGTGGGGGCCAGAGGCCACTGTACTCCAGTCTGGGCAACAGAGTGAGACTCCAACTCAAAAAAAACAAACAAAAAAAAGATGTCTTCTGAGTCCCCGACTTCTTATTTTTATCCATAAATTTGTCTCCAGAAGTGATTCTCCACCTGTAAAATGGGGGTGAGGTGTAGGGCTTGAATTTGCCTTCATTTTGTTTCTATGTCTTGGCTCGTGGGTCAGCTTTTTTTTTTGAGTCGGAGTCTCACTCTGTCATCCAGGCTGGAGTACAGTGGCACATTCACGGCCACTGCAGCCTCGACCTGCTGGCTCAGGCGATCCTTTTGCCTCAGCCTTCCAAGTAAGCTGGAACTACAGACATGCGCCACCACACGCACCACCACACATGACTAATATTTTGGTTTCTTGTAGAGACGAGGTCTCACCAAGTTGGCCAGGCTGGTCTCGAACCTGTGGGTTCAGACAATCCTCTGGCCTCCACTTCCCAAAGTGCTAGGATTACAGGTGTGAGCCATCACACCAGGCAGTACTGGCGGCCTTAAAATTGAGTATACTGCTGGGCATGGTGGCTCACACCTATAGTCCCAGCACTTTAGGAGGCTGAAGTGAACCCATGGGTTCAAGATCAGCCTGAGCAACTTGGGGAGACCTCATCTCTACAATAAATTAAAAAATTAGCTGGACATGGTGGCACAAGCCTGTAGTTCTGGCTACTTGGAAGCCTGACACAGAAGGATCACCTGAGCCCAGCAGGTCAAGGCTGCGGTGGCCATAAGTGTGCCACTGCACTCCAACCTGGGCGACAGAGTGAGACTCTGATTCAAAAGAAAAAAATTGAGTATACATACACATTCTTGATAGGAATTCTATGCGCTTGTCGCCCTGCAGCTTTTTTGTTTAAACTGGTGTGGCGATGGGGGTGGGGAAGAGGGAGGGCAGTGGTCTGACTTCTCCTGCAAGTGTCATTTGTCACTCGTGCAAACCTGTCCTGAGGCAAGGCCCGCCTGTCTGATCTGGTTGTAGGTGCCTGCTGCCCCGGGCTCCCGGGGCGTCTGATGTAAGTTTGGTTCCCTCTGCCATCAGCGTCCCTGTGTCCCAGACTAATAAACTGGTAAATAAATAAAGCTCGAGTCTTTCCCAACCTCCTCCCACCCTAGGCATCCACTATCAGCCGGCGAGCACTGCTGCCAGGCCAGATTTCCTGTGGCCCCGCCTGGATGACGAAACAGAGGATGGCCATTGCACTCTCAGTCTTTTCCGGAGATCTCGGTCCTGGTCCTGATGCAACGATCTGGGTCTTTTACACAAAGCCCCGCGGCGCTGGGCGCTAGGACCCGGCGGACGCCCGGGCGGGGAGGCTCGGCCGGGCCACCTTCTGTCCCTGGGACCCGTGGGTGGGTCAGCGTGGGTCCTGGTTCGCAGCCGGGAACCAGGCGCTGCGGCCCCGGGCCCGGCAACACTCCTCTAACCATGCTCCTCAAGCCCCCCCTTGGGAGCAGTTGGGGGCGGGGACGGGAGCGCGTAGGGGATGCCAAGCTCTCCTGGGGACACGGATGCCCCACTGCCCCATCCCCTGGGGCTGTCGAGTGACGGACCACGGCGCCCCGAGCTGCCCGTCTTGGGCCCCACC